CAATGCAGAAGAAAATAAAAATATTTCCGAAAAGACCGACGATTTTTTCAGATTTTCAAATATAAATTTTGAGCCCATTAAGATGTTTTCGAAAAACTATCACCCAAATATTAACCAGACCCATCTGTCAATATAGTGCCTATCGGTTTACTGTAACATCCACAACTTATTTCCAATTTTTTTCCCATTTATTTACCATTTATTCTAACGCACACGAGATCGAGAGACACTCGTAATCCTAAACTCGCAAGAATGTCTAAGTGGGGTCCAGCAACATGATGAAATTCTAACGACAAAAAAATTCCACGCTATCTCTTAACGCGCAGTTGATCTCACGAAAAACTATTTTGCAATGAAAAACCCTACACTCCTATACTCGGCACAAAGCCTGACTGAGGACCTTTGAACGCATATAACGAAAAGCTCAAATGCCCATCAGCGATGAGATTGCCTCTAAAGTTCGCGGAACTCTTGTAAATCCGCTAAGTGTCGACTGCGTTATGCTTACCTATATGTGCATAAAGGGTAAGTGTTCCACAGAGATAAAAGAGATTTGTCCACCAATCAAATCCTTTAACAAAGCTCAGCTAATTTCGCAAAATTCCCACACACTCATCCCGGATACCACTCGCATGCCGCCATGCGACTTTCTTCGAATGCTCTGTCTGCCTTTAGCACAACCTAGCGGTAGTAAATGCTAAGCCATTCTTTCTTCTTTTCCTACCTACAATCCTTCCTGAATCACCGTCCTAACACCTATAGTGGACATCTTTCGAATGGCTGGTCCCAAAGATGAAAAGAGAACCATACAATAGCAATTGACATAATTCAGTTTCAGCAATAGCGGGACTGTTCCGTAAAATTAATTTCGTTTTTTCACGATTCTGAATGGCGCTGCCGTCGCTTTATCACTCTAGTGAATTTGAACACGATTCGTGTACTGATTGAATAAAATTTCAAACTGCTCTGCCATCCTGTGAGGAGGCTATACCGGGAAATGTGTAAGCGATTGTATAGCTGCGTCCAGAAGACGGTCCGGACATCCATAAGCATCCAAATCAATACAACCATCACATATTACTTTGAAGATGTTGTCGATAAATACATTAAAGTCCTGGTGGACAATGAACAAAAAGAAATTATTGATTATTGCAATGAAATAACAATTCTTTGCCGTCATTACATTGATAATTATTGAAAACTGTCGATAAACTTCCATTTATTTAATTGATTTCTTTCTCTTCTGTTATATAGTATATGGCACAGACATGCTTTTCTCTTTAGAGCCTATTAATAAAGTTTATTGAGCTTAAGAAAAATCCATTACGGCGAAATGATTATGAAGACAAAGCACAAAATTGACAACAACAAGCAAAAATACATATAAAAAAACTGACAGTTTTTTATTTTACTAAATATTTTGTTTTTTTTTTTTTTATTTTCATATTCACATTAAATATTTTTTATAAACGTGGAAAAACGGAGAATGCATTTAAATTATAAAACTCTGCTCGCTACCAAGGACGGTACTTTCAATGGATCTTATCCTCCGCCAGAAATACTAAAAGTAATCCATCTTAAAATTTTTGCGAAATGTTTTGTAAAAACATTATCGGAAACTTACCAAAAAAGGAATTACGACCGCAACCAGAAATATGACGAGTGGTATGAGTATGAAATATCCACTCGTTCCGCTCATACACATAGTACATGAATCCATTTTGCAAAAATTGTGTAGTAATTGCAAAAAAAATACAACAACAACAAAAAAGTACATAAATAAAATTAAAAACTTAAAAACTAACAATTGCTTTCATTTTTCATTTATTTAGCTTACAATGTTGTATTTCTAGAACACAAAAAAATAAAAAATTCAATTGTTTACGAATCGAATCAAAGAAATAGCGTAGAAAAACAAACAGAAGAAAAAGGAAGAAGAGGAAGAAAGAAAGATATATGCGCAAATATTATGATTGAGTAAACTGATTTGAACGACTTGTTTCTAATGTTTTTTTTTTTTTTTTTTTAAACAACAAAGTCTTCAGAGATAGTTTGTTTTTAAAATAAGAAAAAATGTTTTGGTTTTTTTGCTATTGCAATGAAATGATTTACGGGCATTATAAACAGAAAGATAAATTTAATATACCTTTCATTTGTTAACGATAGGTGTGATAGTTCAAACGAACTTACGTGACTTGACAAAACAAGTATTAAAGATTGCATTATTATGTATCATATATATTTTCTACATCATTCGTCTCTTGTAAATAGCCATAACGGAAAACCTTTAAAGTACCTAAAAGCAGACATTAACATCCGAAAATTATAAGTCATAAACCATACACGTATACCTTTATTTCCCGTCAAATGTATATGTGCACAAGTTTGCATGTTTATATGTGAATATAAAATGGTTTCCTTGAGACGAGCACATAGAAGCACGCACACATGAAATGATGCAGGTGTACGACAGAGACATGAAACTAGCTATGTACCATATGAATATAAAAAACGAAAAAAAAGAGACAAAAAATCACGACTATGCAGCTTAAAACCATGTGCATTTGAGGAATATGAGAAATCGGAGAATGGGTGAAAAGGGGTAAAACGGAAAAAAATGAAAGTAATTTTAACAAAGCGAGAAAGTTCTTCTCATTTAACAGAAAGTATTATGTTTTTTCGGTTACATCTTCTCATTTAAAGGATATGCTGACGGATTTTCTGTTACTTCTTCACATTTAACAGATATGCTGACGAACCTTGTCCAATATATATATGTATAGTACCAATATATATATATGTATGTATATATGTATGTATAATTGTAGGATATTTTGCCAATTATAGGCGTGATAAGCGTTTTTCATTAGATCACAAAACAGTGGAAACACTTTTGGGAAAGCAGTTTCGGCCAGTTCCTCAGATTTTTCCATATTCCAGTTGGACATATGTCGGAATATTTTGGTTTTTGCACAAACATCTGGCTCGATCTAGCGTTTAACCTTACAGGCCGACAAAATGCAGCTTGTTGTAAGCAAGATTTTCACTTATTTTTTGCAGCAAGAGCTTAAGCTAGTACAAGAAAGCCATCTGTAAACTATGATGTAAATGGTAACCAACTAAACGGTAGCATTCCATTCTGCTTCTAATAAACGAGTAACGCCTCTGAAATTATCAACCAATGCAAACTTTCGCATTATTCGCGCTGACTAAGGTTGAAATCGCGTTTAGAACATGGCTATTTATAAAAGATAGTACATGAACGTGGTACATGGGATTCACTGCGAAAAACTTAAAATACAGCCTCTAGTAACAACGGACAATAACAATTGCAAGCAAACAATTCAACAAATCACATCCGAAATTTAATGTTATCAAGCTGTAAAATCTAATGCTATAAAAGCGTAAGTTATAAAGTTTTAAATGAGCAAGTCAGTGGTCGTGGGTTCAAATCTCAAGTGCGGTAGAGTTTTAAATAAAGCCGAAAGCCTTAGATGCTAGTGCTTTAAGACTTTGGTCTTAGAATTTATTCTCTGGCTAAATTAATAATAAAAATAATAGTAAATAATTGTAAGAAATATCTTCAATAGAATATTTCATTTATATTATAAGTAAAGGCTTTACCCATATTTTAATCATGTTTGATAAGCGCTAGCTAGCTAGTGCAGTAATAGTTTTATTTCCTATTGTCAGTGTGGTCATGGAAGGATAGCGTATATTTTCAAATTCGACTTATGGCTTTTAATCTATAATCACGTAGAATATTACCTCAGCATCTCAGCCAGAGCACAGACGGGGAGGTATAAATTCTATCTGCACTCTCTGATGTGTATAGTAAGACGCGGGCAAATTACTCTTCAACTTCGATAACGTATATAAAATGTAATTTCCCTCAGAAAACAACATGTATACACCACGAAATTTTTCTTCAACAAACTTAATACTTTAAAATCTTAACATACAAAACGTATTAATCTTACATCTACAATTTGTAGAAATTTTAATAAATTTTTTAACGTTTTCCAGCACTGAAATATCGCTTAGATATGCTTATGACATCTTTTTCATTCTTTAACTTCTTTACTTTACAACTAATGTATATCGTATTCTTTCTTGCAAACGTATTTTCTATGCTCCTTTCTTATACGATTACCTCTTAATTCGAATTTTCCAAAGATCGTAGTTTTGTTTGTAATGAAATAGTGCCTCGATATCGTAAGCGAAGAACAGTAAAGCAAGAGAACGAGAGAAAAAAAAATAACATTGACAAGTCTTCTCTCAGGACTAAACAAGAAAAAACACGCTCACCGCTTAAACCATTTCAGACATTATTTCCACGTTTTCTCAATATAGATTAAGATAAAGTATAAAAAAGGTAAATAATAAATCTGGTAAAGATTTAATAATAATAAAAAGAATTAATAGAATTGTTGCATTCCGCATATACCGCCCCTTCTTCAACATTTCCACAAATCAACAACATATGATTCACTCTTCATTGCATTTTTGAATGTGGCGCTTTTATTAGTAAGCCTTTTTTCTTTCTTCCCAAAATTGACGACACTTTTAAAATAACGAGGAGAAGAGAAGAGATTTCAATGCTCTCTCACACACTCAATTTCTTAAGAGGATTGCTAGCCAGCATTATGTTTATAATATTTTGCTTGCTCTGAGAGGGTTTCTTCGATTACTGAAGAAGAGAGGCAAAAATAGAGACAAACATGAATATAAATCTAAACATTTTCTAGATTTTTTTCAGTAGTTAACGCGAGAGCGAGAATTTTGAATGTCGTTGGACGCGGAATGCGTGCGAAAACAAAAAATAAAAATAAATAAAACCAAAATATATTTATGTAAATAACATAAAATTATGGAAATTTAATAAAAAAAATAGAGAAAAAATTTGATACAAAAATTTATTTCAATCGATATGTGCTAAAAATGAAGCCAAAGAAAAAAATTAATTTAAACAAAAAGCAAAAGTTTGCTTTTATTTATGTGTTGTTGAAAAGGAAGTTTAGTATGTAAAGAAAAAAGGAGTTAGTGCGATAATAATAAAAGAAAGGAGAAAACACATCGGAAATTGTGAATATTTGGAGAAAATGAAGTTAGTATTTTTTTTTGTATTATGTTTAAAAAAAAAGTTTCATCTCAATCTTTTGTGAATTTCTAAAAGATGCTTATTAAGATTTTCTTCAATCATTCCTTTTTTTAACAAAAATTATTTTGTGTATGAACTAAAATTAAAAAGTTTTTTTCGGTGAATTTTATTTACCTTATGGAAAACAATATTTGTGTAATTGTGTATTTGAGTTCGAATACGATTAATTGACGGCAACTAATTTAAATAAAAAACAAAAGTAATATATATCTTCAAAAGCAAGAACAAGCATGAAGCATACATTAATTCTCTTTTATGTTTTAACAACATTTTCTACATAGAAAAGAGAGAAGAAGAGAGTGAGAGAATTTATGTTTTATAAAAAGAAAAATAAGAATTGCACGTAAACTTAACTGTTGATCTCTTTCTTTCGGTATGTATACTTTGCGTACATTCTTATGAAAATGTTATTAAATAGAAAGGGATAAATGTAGGGGTTTTCAGTTTCGTACTTGTTAAAACATAATGGCAAAAAAGATGTATCATTTATTGCATTTATCGTAAAAAATTTTCAGTTTGTTTGCAACAACACTCTTTGGAAGTACTTTTCTATTGTTTTACACAAAAGTGTCTGTAAAGATTTTGTTATAAAGTGAAATTTATCAGAGAAAAATGTCGGCTGAAGTGGAATTTCCCAAAAAAGAACCACATTTACGTGCATTGAAACTGTCTGGACATGTGGGTTTCGACAGTCTACCTGATCAATTGGTAAACAAAAGTGTTCAAAATGGATTTGTGTTTAATGTTATGTGCATTGGCGAGACAGGCTTGGGAAAATCTACTCTAATGGATACACTGTTTAATACTAGCTTTGAGTCCACACCCAGTTCTCATACATTACCGCACGTAAAATTGAAGGCCCACACGTATGAGTTGCAGGAGAGCAATGTACGATTAAAGTTAACAATATGCGATACGGTGGGCTACGGCGACCAAATTAACAAAGATGATTCATTTAAGGCAGTGGTTGATTATATTGATGCTCAATTTGAGGCTTATCTACAAGAAGAACTAAAAATAAAGCGTTCTTTGATTTCCTGTCACGATAGTCGCATACACGCCTGTTTGTATTTCATTTGCCCTACTGGGCACGGTCTAAAATCATTGGATTTAGTGTGCATGAAAAAGTTGGATAGCAAGGTAAACATAATACCAATCATAGCCAAAGCCGATACTATATCCAAGCAAGAGTTGCAAAGATTTAAGTCAAAAATCATGCAAGAACTTTTCAATAACGGCGTACAGATATACCAATTTCCCACAGATGATGAAACGGTGTCGGAAACAAATTCGGCCATGAATGATCATGTACCCTTTGCAGTAGTGGGCAGTACAGAATTTATTAAAGTAGGCAACAAACTTATACGAGCACGACAATATCCCTGGGGCACAGTTCAGGTGGAAAATGAGTCCCATTGTGATTTTGTTAAATTGAGAGAAATGATAATACGCACCAACATGGAAGACATGCGCGAGAAAACGCATTCAAAACACTATGAACTGTATCGTCAGAGACGTCTTGAGGAAATGGGCTTCTCTGATGTGGACAGTGAAAACAAACCAATTTCATTTCAACAAACATTCGAAGCCAAACGTTCTAATCATTTAGCCGAATTGCAAGCTAAGGAGGAAGAAGTGCGTCAAATGTTTGTACAAAGGGTTAAAGAAAAGGAAGCTGAACTAAAGGAAAGTGAAAAGGATCTGCACGCTAAATTTGAGAAACTTAAGCGCGATCATGCCGATGAGAAACGTAAATTGGAAGAGTCGCGTAAAAAATTAGAAGAAGATTTCTTAGAGTTTACACGACGCAAACAGCAATTGGCCACAACGCACCACACCCTGACTTTGGGTAAAAGCAAGAAGAAGTAAATAAATAAACGCTAGATCCATTGAAAAAAAAAAGAACGGAAAAGAAATAAACAAGAAGAGTAAAAAATAAACTCTTTGCTGCTATAAGTTGAGTATGTCTCTTGGCATAGTTAGAACGTTTTTGCATTTTAATTCAATTTCACTTTATTTTCTCTTTAAATTTTTTACTGCTCTAATTTTTTAAAAATATATTAAACACTATTTTCAAATTATTGATATTTAAGAAAAAAAAGTACACACACATCTACAAATACACAAACACACACACATACGAAATGTATTAACAAGCTTATAAAAAATATGACTAATATACCAAATAAAGTAAAAAAAAAAAAAAAAACAAAACGAAGACTTTCCAATAAAATAGAAAAACGAAGAGAAGAATGTATTTTCTTGCATTTAACTTATCCGTGACAGCTGCTTCATTTTAAAACTAGTTTCAACAAAAACACTCTCTTTTCAATCGTAAGACTTACCACTCATGTTTCGTGAAAGATGATAAAGAAAATACAAAAACCGTTTGCTATTCTCTCTCTTTTTCACTCTCTCCCTGTTAGTTTTGAAACTTGTTTACATTCTTTCGTGATTTATTGACAATATGGATTCGCTTGCAATGATGAAAATTGAAATTTTACACTGGTTTTAAAGAAGTTATTATTTGAGAGAAAATAAGAATATTGAAATGAAAGGGAAATTGGAAAGTTAAAAAGAAGTTATATTAAGTTTGTAGCAAATATTTATTACATCCATTTTATGAATAAAATTTGAATACAGAATACAAATAAAAATTCGTTTGCTTAAAAGATTTTTCTTTTTGCCTGTAAGACTGTCAAATGTGCATCAAACATTTCATAGGCTACATACATACTACATATTTGCTTATCACACGAATATAATTGTTTGTCGTTGGAAAACTTAAAGTGGCGCAAATTGACATGAAATGCTGAAGCACGGCATGCATTGCCCTAATCGTTGTCTCTTATACAATGCAATTCAAATCACATATTGCGTTAAAGTTGACACAAACATTTAAAAGGATCACTTCCAGCTTATTTGAGAAAATTAGTGTAATACCCGTACAAAGGCAGCCATAATACACAAAATTCAAAATCTTTTCTAAGAAGATGTACCTACATATATAGGGCACAAATATATATACGGAATATTTTGGAAGCCCACTTAAAAGACCAGTGAGACGATGGTGATCAAAAATGATATCATAGGTAAGGGAAAACCGTCGTATTTGTTTCCCAATAGGCGACTTTATAATCGCTTAGTTATGGTAAACAAAATCTTATCAAATCATCCTATGGAGCGCTTGAAAAGTGATACGTAATATAAGAAACTTTGTGATGTTTGATAAATGAGTGAAAAGCTACTGTTGACATTGGACCAATGAAGAAATTACTTTATCGTAATGATGTGTAAGCTTAAGCAAAATTAGCAGCATAAGTGGCGGCAGCTCCATTCTAAAAATGGCTATATAAAAGAGGCGTGGCGCTTTGGCCAATCAGACATTTACGACATTGATGACATTGAGAAGATTCGATCGACTCTTTTCATCCAATGATATCGCTGCTAACGCGAACATGAAACAAACATCCTTAGCGTAAGACTGGTTGCTAGATACTTGGATATGATGGACATGAATTAAGAGCACAAATTTCAAAGCACTTAATCTCCATTTACGAATCGTTGCTAAAAGGAAGAGACATCGAGCCATTTTTGAAAAGAAAGGAGAAGAAAGAGATAATAGTGTTATGAAAGGTGGATCTTAAACTTCAATAACGTGCGAAAAGATCGTGGATGAATCTGCATGATGATAAAGATCGTATTAGCGCCACTGTTGACAACTAAATGCAATTAAAGGGTGCAGTTGAGGCAAATCGTCTAGAATTGATCAGTGTTCTTCTACTTGCAATGACTAGGGCAAAAATGTCTTGCAGAGTTTTAAGGCACCTGATCTTTCTTGTTTCGATCTACGCAATAGTATCTTAATGGTTTAAAGCTGACTTTAAAACTAACCTCTGACAATCACCATCACGATCATATAGCTCTATAGTGATCGATTAAGGGCTTTGACAAGCAAATGGCATTATATAAAATGTAAGAAAAGTATTTGTCTTAGGCTCGCTCTCTAATTAGATCAAGGTTTTAGTGCTTCAATTGCAAATTTCAAAACTTTTTAGCAATCAGACGTAGCTGTATCGATTTAAAAATATCAAGAACAATGTAAAAAAAAAATGAAATCCATTTTTTATTTAAATCTCTGTGAGATCAGTGAAATTATAAAAACACGTTCTTTTCATCTTCAGATAGTACTTTTCTTGTAAAATTTCTCTGCAGGATTTCGTGCCAGTATATTCAATTAATGCAAATATACGCACATACTTGCAGAGAAGCGAGTTTTGCGTTTATTACTAAGTCTATGAAGCGACGAAAAAGAGCATTATAACAATCCGATAGCAATCCAGCGATGTACGTGGAAAAGATGTATCAAGACAGGGAAAACCGCTCCAAACTCGTTTAAAAATCAAAGTTTTGTGGGAAGCTTTCCTTGGTTATCGTAGTGTTGTGCATAATGAATTGTTTCAGTCAGACCACACATTTCAGAAAAAGATTTTTCCCAAATCTTGCGAAGGCAACGAAATTGATATGGAAAAATAATTAAATATTTTTCATTATATAAATGAAATCAATTTATTTTTTTTGATCACAGTATATATACTCATACCCAGATATCACAGTATATATGGTTACACTGGAAGACTTACTACTTTGATGAAACGTTTTCAATGTTTCGGATTCATATGTGCATACATATATATATACACATGGGGGACACAAATAATTTCACTTAAGGTAAAGCCATTTGTTGCAGTCTTTTTATCAATTGTACGGAGGATGCACATGAAGAGAACTTTCACTCTCAATTTGTAGGCATAACAAATCTTTATAGTTGCTATATATAGGAAATTTGATTTTTTCAAACTTCTTTCATTTTTTTCCCCCTTTTTTTTTACGTATGCAAGTGTCTGTTGATAAGCGATCGATGGTTTTGAAAGTCGAGTTACGTACATGACTCAGGAATACATGTCAATTTTCAATTTGTTAGCTCTTATCTGATGACCTTCAGAACGTCATCAGAGCAGACAGACGTATAGCGTGCTGGTTAATTGACTTGTTTTTTCATCGCAATTTTTAAGAGGTTCTTTTATTTCTTCCAATGCTTTTTTTAAGTCTTTGTCTTTTATTGCCAATAAAACTGAATTATTATAAATTTTTTATGTTTTTTTTTGTTTGTTAATTCAATTATTATTATGTAGCAATTTAAACATTTCATAATAATACTCATTCGTGCACAGTGCATGAACATAAATATAATGTAATGGTTTTTTTTTTCATTTTTCCTAATGTTTTTAGTGATTGCTCAAGCTTCAAACGAACGACTTATTATTAAATGAAAATTTATAATATTGTATCTGCGGAAGTGTTAATACGAATGTAGATGAGACTTAATAAAAAATTGACAAAAGAACTTAAGTTTCGGAAACTTCACCGAGCTAAAGAATAATTCGATCGATTTATTTAGTTTAAACGAGCCCTACAGAGCTAAAAGTGAATTCATCTGCATTGCTACAAAGGTGTCATATGTGATACTGATCTAATCTATTGATCTGTCCAGAGTCCAGTGTCTTGACTTCTCTTTAGAAGGGTATGCTACCATATATTAGTTTGGGGAAAAAGAAATCCATTATTTTTTCGGTAGATAGCTGCACTGATAGATTTCTCGTAAAGTATCGATCAAACAATTTCCGATACTGTACATTTACATACTGTACATTTCGCAGTAAAAAAATTTCTTTTGTTGTTTTTTGTTTGGTGCACTCAGTTGTGAGTTACAGCGTGTTAAAAATGGAAGTGAACAAAGAGAAAATTCGGTACATTTTACAGTTTTTCTTTGACAAAGGCGAAAATCCAAGCCAGGCGGCTAAAATTGTGAATGGTGTTTATGGTTCCAAAACTGTAACAGCCAATTATTTGCAATTTTGGTTTCGTAGATTCCGTTCAGGAATTATTGATGTTAAAGATGCAACTCGCACAGGTAGGCCGGTCGTTGAAAATGTCGATAAAATCGGAGAAATGATCGAAGTTGACCGGCATGTTAGCAGTCGTAACATCACCCAGGAGCTAAAAATCGACCATAAAACAGTTTTAAACCATTTACACAAAGCTGGATTCAAAAAGAAGCTCGATGTTGGGGTGCCACACCAATTAACAGAAAAAATCATGATGAATCGAATTTCCATCTGCGAAGCCTTGGCCAAACGGAGTGAGATAGACCCATTTCTTAAACGGATGGTGACTGGAAATGAGAAATGGATCACATACGATAACCCTGTGCGAAAACGATCGTGGTCAAAGAGCGGTGAAGCACCTCAAACGGCCAGGAAGGTTTTGCTATGGTGGGAGTGGAAGCGGATTATTTATTATGAACTTAAGTTTCGGAAACTTCACCGAGCTAAAGAATAATTCGATCGATTTATTTAATTTAAACGAGCCCTACAGAGCTGAAAGTGAATTCATCTGCATTGTTACAAAGGTGTCATATGTGATATTGATCTAATTGTCCCTGTTCAGAAGCAGTTTCTTGATTTCTCCTTAGAAGGATAGGCTACCATACGTTAAGCGATTGAAATGAATCAATCTTTCTTCCCTTCATAAGTGTAGATTTGCTCTTAGAAAAATGCTTTTGCTTTTAAATTGGTAAATGGAGTAATCTCGTCAGCAGTTTTAATTCACGAAATAAATTTTAATACCACACAATGAGCGTCGAAACGCTATTTTCTTATTAGCTTATCGCTGTAATGATTTGGCTGTGAATTAAAACATTACTTAATAAGTTTCAAATCTGACACATATGCTGCACCGCTGTTGACAGACCAACATGATTTCTGATTACTACGGACTTTCAAGAGACGCCCCTCTAAATTTTATGACATTGTGGTTAAACATTCCAGGTTAGAGTTGTGAAGTTACTTTTATCATTTTCAAAACAATGGAAAAATCGTAATTTCATATGTTGTTAAAATGTTGCCCTTTGATGAGAAAAAATACTCTTCGCAATCAGCATTGGATTGAAAGGTATTTTACTCTTGTGTGCTGAAATGACCGCCGTGTGGGTGGTCTGCTAATTTTAAATAAATTCTTATAAATCGACAGTTGTTTCAGAAAGCATAAAAAAGTGCAGAAAATTCTTTTGGAAGACCGAAAATTGGAAATGGTTGGGATAGTTGACACCTTAAGATATCAAAAGGTGGTGTATTTACTATCTTGCACCAACAATTGTGTTCGAGAAAGCATTTCCTCACTTTTAACAACAACGTGTTGATCGTGTAGAGCGCTGTTGAGGCGGGATAAAGGCACTTTTTTCATGCTGTGTGCGACAATGGATGGAACATACATTTTTAACTTCACAATAGAGTCAAGCCGGCAGTTAGCCCAATGGACAACAGCTGGCGAAAGCCAGTAAAGTAATTGTTGGAAATTTTGCCACATATCGTTTGAAAGGTAGTACTATTCAGAAATCATGTGGGCCTGTCAACATGCCATATGTACATATATCATACCGGAGACTTATTGAGTTATGGGGTATTTAACACCTTTTACGCGGCTTGTAAACGCATTGATGATTATTATCATTTATTCCGCTTTTCTGATTCGGTCAGCCGAAGCAATATGTTAATAATTCACTCACCACAATATGAATTAAACTATTATAAAGTAATTATATAAATATGTATGAATAAGTATGAACGTACAATATAAATAATTTTTAAGTTTCTTTGTATGCTACAAATGGATATTTTTTATTAGTCAAATATTAAAATAAATACATAAATGCACAAGTATTAACTTATATTACACCTAATTAAAACAAATAACCTTAAGGTTCTTTACACAATGTTGCGTTGCGGATGGGTTTATTAAACGAATAAAGAAACAAATATAAAAAAAAAATGTATCCAGTGCGTTAATATTACCAAGATTACTAAATGCAGCACTTTTTCATTGATGGAAATCTTTTCTCTAAATTGCTTCATAATCGATCCTTTTTAATAATCGAAAAATTAAAAAAGATTATATACAGTGTGGACAAGTGGATTTGACGATCTAGGTTAACTAATACATAGGATGCTTGATGGCCAAGTCAAAACGAAAAAATAAATCAGCAACGAAAGAAAAATTATATTCACTTTTCGATGAATATTTTCAAAAACAAATCGCTACATCAAGCAACTGAACGGTAAGCAGGCCGCTATAACTGAACAAATTCATTACGAAGGTGTACATATTTTATTCGATTAAGGGTTGAACAGATAATCCATATGCTAAGGACATAACGTGCTCACTTTTTCATACTTTTTATTAATATGGATCAATCAGTGGCGGGATGTCCCCTGTTCGTGCAACATGCTGACTGTCAGAAAGAAATGAGAAAAGACAAAGGAATAGGGAGGTGATGTTCACCGCAAGTCCAGTGGGTGTTTAGCCATTCAATAAGAGCACTCACTCACTCTACCTACGCAGAAGGCCGAAGGCACATCGCCTATTAATTATTCATCATTTTCATGTAAAGGTATACTTTATATGAAAGCCCTCATATTGATGGGTGGCCAGAACATTTATCAAACTTGATTTATTTCTTCCATATTTTATCGGTTTTCACATGTTTTTGTCAAAAGGGACTACACACTAGACTATGTCGCCAAATAAAAAAGTTGAGACCGTTGTGGTCCAAATTTCCTGCGGTTAATTTTAACGCCGAGTTCTCAATGTGGACAAATTTTCATCTTTAATATTTTAAGTAATAATAATAATAATAATATTTTAAGATTATACCTTTTTGGCGTAGAAGGGTTCATTTTTCATGAGAATCACAATTGTTTTCTGAATCAATAAACCTGATATAATAATAGAAGATTTTTCTTAAGTCTTTCCGGCTTTCATATACATCCGCATTTAATTTAATGTACACTGTACCAAAAGTCGATTAGAGTATAACAATTAGTTTATGCTATTCATTTTTTTGTTGTTGCTTATAACACATTAAAGTAACTACCGAAAACCTAAACAAGTATGTAAAATTATGAAAAGTGAATCGGAGAACTAATTTGGCAGAGTCTATGGCCCCTTTTTCATTTTATGAAACAAGGATTACGGACTTACATTTTGTATAGAGGAACGAATTGTCTGCTAATTATAAAGAGCTGATGGAGTAACTAAAAGATATTTATCAACTAAGTTAATTCATTTTTATGATGATCCCAACAAATCTCCGTTAAATAGCTCTGTATAAAGAGCAGTGTAGGATTTGGAAAAAACATTTTTTTATTAGGGATGTCATTCATACTCACTTGTAACACGATGAAGGCCGAAAAGTGGGAAGGAAAGAGACAGGGAAGAGGCTCCAGCCTATTTAATGTGTGCCTAACCGGTAAATTTTATACCGTTTCCGACTTACCACTCACTTGGTTATAACTACGAGCAAACTAAACTCTGTCGCATTGAGGTTTGAACCTGCGAACACAGATTTAGTAGTCGCGATTCTTTCCTACTTGGCTGCTCATGCGGTGGCGGTACTTAATCTATATGAAACAAAAAAATTCGAATGTCTCTGACGAAAGGTCGTTCAAGCGAACGCTTGAACTCAACTTGAATTACAAACTCTCTTAATTAAATAGAAAGCTTATTGAGAACAAATTGGCAAATGTGTAGTACTTTGCCATATATGGAAGGAATTTTTACGACAATAAAGAAGAACGGACTAATGGAAGAGTACATGACATGACAGATACATTTATACGAATGGTTATTAATTCAATTATTCTACTGCTAGCCATAGATATCTTAATAAATTTAAGATGTGTTTGGTAAACTTTAAACCTTTTAGAACTGGCTTGTAACATTTTAACAGCTTTTCCCAGTGGCTTACACACAATTGAAGGGTGTGAAGTTATATTTAAATATAACTAGCAAAGACACAAACTAAAATTTTTTACAGAGATCTGCAAAGCCGTTAACAGAATTCTGTTAAAGGAAGTCTCGGAGGGATTTGGCTCAAAATACAAGTAAAATAGAACTTTTCGCAAATTTTTTTGCAAATTCTTATAAACAAAACATGACTTTATGTAAATTAACTAATATTCGAAGCCAAAACTTTTTTACACTATGCCATAAATGAGGTTGAAAAAGCGAAAGTTTACGGAGCTACTGTGACCAAACCATGTCCCTTGAAAAAATGAAACCAGCACAGAGTGAATCCTCTATTAATAGCCTTTCCAACGGTGTGAAGGTTATATTAACTTTTGCCCAAAGAGTCTTTTTCGAGTCGTCTTCGTTTAACAGAATTCTGTTAACGGCTTTACAGATCTCTGTAAAAAATTTTAGTTTGTGTCTTTGCTAGTTATATTTAAATATAACTTCACACCCTTACACAATTGTTGGATTGCACACTGATCTGGCTAAGAAATTCGATTCACTTATGCATCTGATTCTCATTAACAGTTTTTTGGGAACATGTTCGCGTTATATAAAGTTGTAGACAAAGAAAAGAAAAAGTCGAGGTATTTCGGGGTGTTGCAGTCTTCGATGCCTTGTGGGCGGGTATATGGATAGTTCACGACCCTTATATAACCTTGGGTTCTTAAACAAAGAAAGGAGATTTTTTGCCTTCCTATCTTCTTTTTTGGGGCGGTTGTAATTCAACATAAATTATGTACCAAATTGACCCACTTTGGTAGAAGTAGATGTATGGAAAATGGCAGTAGTATTAGTGTTAGTGTAAAAAAGGGAGAAGCGGCTTAAATGAAATAGAGAAAAATTTGAGCGTCTCACTTGTACCAGCAGATAGTGGGGAAAGATAAACATACTTAAACTAATTTCCTTATCCTCATCCACATCTAACGTCTTATACTGACTTACATTACCAAAGTATACATATTTCAATGCAAATGCAATATGCCTCTGGCGGTATTCTTTTTCATAACGTAATTTAATGTTTTATATAAGATATATATAATTATACAGATTTCCTTTGACATGATTCTGTTATTAATTTTTTTTATTAAATTTCATTTAAATTTCTTTGTTTTTCAACTTCGTTAAGACCGTTGATGAATCATTTATTTGTTTACGTCTTTTTCTTTCTTTTCAGGTATACATTTTATTGAACGTCAGCATCATGATATACTAACAAACAATAATCGAAAATTAATCATTGTGAGATTTTGTTTTCGTTCTCTACGCTTACCGCTCCTTTTCCTGAAACAAGCAATGCGAGGAAAAGCAAAACAATAACAGCAACAGCGATTTCAACAATAACCGCACAATATTGGTGTTCAATTAGGGGTTACTTTCCGTTCTATACTATGCGTACATACACACACGTACATCCAAGCAAGCACACAGCTTTAATATTTCGAATGAAAAGTGCTTTTTTTTTTTAATAAAATTGCATCATTTAATATAATAATCGAGTAGGAGAAAAAAGTATGAGCAAAAATAAAATGAATATCCTTGAAAAAATGCTCCATTTTCCTATTTTTATATCGACCATCGAAGGATGGCGGTGTACTCATCTCATCGAAACCTTTGTAGCTCCCATAACAAAGTTTAAGAGTGACCCGTAGTCATCTATATTCTCAAGAAGGGCCAAATTTTGCATATCCATCTGTTCATCCGTCTGCCTTCCTACCCGAGTAATGTCTGTGGCAAACATTTTCTCCTCAAAAATAACGGCACCACTTTCAAGTTTGATAAAAGATTTGGAAATTTTTCCATCCAGGTTGGTATTGAAATTGACTCAAATCTGAGAATATATCTGCTTTCGCAGATTTTTCCATGTTACGACTAAGTATAATAGACAGACAGTAATGCACACTGTTTCAAGAATATTCTGCAAAAATAGAAAAGTCAGCCACGCCCATCCAATTTAATAGAATAAGAAACTGTTTTTAGTTTCATTCCACAGATGGTAGATGTAACAAATTCGGTCACGGCCGTGTTTTCTTTTTGATCACAAGTTCAAATAACGCATAAAGCGGCATGGTTTTCCAATTTTTAATATTTTTTTAATTATTTTGTTCAGAACTAATATGTAAGAAAGTATATAAAGTTTGCATACAAACGCCATTAACTGTAAGGTAAAGAAAGCCGAGCCTTACCTTCTCGATAGAAAATGTGCTAAGCTCACACTTCTTTTTCTTTTACTCTTGTCGTTCCCAAGTTGTAGTTGCGGGCCTATGGAGCATCCACTCTGGCTTCTCTCGAATATTTTTCGCACCTAATAAAATCTAGATGAGGAAGAGAGGAAACGAACAAATTTTTATCAAATTTTTTTTCCTCAAGCCCATGGGCCCGTTAAAAAAAATTTTCGCCTGTCTGCAATCGACTGCCAATTTACGAGGCAAGAAAAAAAAACAAAAAGAATGCACTGTCAACATTTTGCTTGCACTTGATGTATACGAAGAGTCAGCAGCGTGGATTTAATGTGAATGCGAGCAGTGAGTGTGTCTGCTTGTCTAATGTTAAACCTAACCCCACTTGTAATATAATTTGTAATTTTTTTTTTATCTTCGCTTCCTATTTTATTTTGGCTTTTAACGCAAAAATTCAGCGAAAATGAATGTTTTTAAATTAGGGAAAAACAAACAAACAAAAAAGTAAAAAACGAAAATATCAGAACAAAAAAATCGAAAAACCACCCCGTGCCCAGGCTTATAAAACAATATAACAAAAAAGAAAAGAAAAACAGTGCAAACAACAAAAAAAATCAACTGAATAAATTTCGACAAATTTTATACTAAAGTGAAATATACCAGTTTTTCTGTATTCTTTTGAATTACAAAAACAACTGAAAAAGCCAAACATTAACAACAAAGGCTGAACGCGAAACAGGGGAGAAAAAAATTCGTGTTTTTTCTTCTATTGTTTGTCTAAAAGCAAAAAATCCATAAAATTCTGTAGGTGCGCGTGTGTGGTTGCGATGCGTACATGTATGCGTGTGTGTGCGCGCGTGCTTTGGTCTCCTCAAACCACTGTTTCATCGCTAAAGATTTCACTTTAAAACTCAGCTTCAAAATTTGACATTTCATTGAACTCTTTTTTTTTTTTTTTTTTTTTTTCAATTTCAATTAAAATCATTTTTTTTTTTTTTTTTTTTTTTTGTTAAACTTCAATTAAATTAGAAAAAATGAAAAGATTGTATGGGTTTTATAAGTGATAGAGTGGACCATAGATAGACTGTAAATTTTTGAAATAAATATGTTAAAGATTTTCAGTTTTTAGTTCCTTTTCGCCTTTACATCTATTCGTTAACGATAAAGAAGAAAATTTATCTAAAACGTGAAAGACTAAGAATTTTAATGTATGTACACTTTTAATAATATTAGCGGAAGTGATTCAAGGAGTTTGAACGCTCTTCACGCAAGCTTTCCAATAAAGTAAAAACAACTGCCATATTGTGGCTAAACGACCACACTACCAGCATTAATAAACTTCAGCATTGCCATCTTTAATAAATAATGTCATCAACAAAATGCGGACTCAAATTTTTATTCATATCGATCATTTTCATTGTCATCGTAAATGGTAAGTATTTTAATAATATTTCCTATAATTTTCGCCATGGCTTACCTTTTGTCTCCGTCCTTCTCAGACGATTAAAATTTTGAACTCATATTGCAACTTGCGCTTGCGAACTTAGTGTATTTATATGTTGAAAGTTACTTCAGCTACCTTTGTAGCATCTAAAGGCTTACTATACCTCTGCAAGTGTCATGCGGCTCATCACAATGTTGGAAGGAAAGGATTTAGAATTCTTCTCCTTCTGACACTTGGGCAACTCCACCTTGACGTTTTCTCACTTCGTGCGTCATTGGGCACGGAGGAAATAAGCTGTCAAGGCAGGATCCCATGTCAAACTTCTAGGGGCGTATGTTCCCACTGGAACTTTATACTAAAAACTCACCTAATTGTCGGTTTTGGCATATGGCAGCTGGTTTACAACTAAGGATTGTCTCAATTGCGTTAATTGTTAGCAGTAGTGTTCCGCAATGATGGTTTTATTGTTTTGTCTTAATTTTCGAACCGTACGCTAAGCTTATTCCGTGAAAAAGGACTATGAATTTGAAGAACAGTTAGCCTCTCCATCTAATATCAATGATTTGTCTAGCTTGCATGATAGTTATTTGAGCCTCAGAATATCATGGCTCAAGTACATTTCATCGGTCAACGAAACACGCCGAACTCACGAAAACAGAGAGAACGGCCTTGGTTTTCCCAGCCTTATGAATGCTACCCTTAGCTTGGGCGTTGCATTATTATAGCCCATCAGTTTTCAATCATGTGTAGCAAATCACCAGCGATTTTATTCGAACCGAGCAGGACAACCCCTCCCGCAAATCGTGTTTTTTTTTTTTTTGGCATTTCGCGGCAGCATACGTAATAGAGCGCAGAGATTAAAGGTAATGTTCTGACACAAAATTATCACAATTGTTGTTATTAAATACGCCATAATGCCGATTAGGTTCTCTTTAGAAAAGTTTTAGAAATTCACATATACTCATATTATGTGCAATAACAAAACAATAAGCTAAACGTGGAATATACGCTTGCAACTATGGCACTAAGCGCACTAAACGTAAATGAACTACAAAGAAAACCTTAGGCTTATCGATGACTAAATGTCGATATAGCAAATTAGAAAAAGCTTTCGATTACTATAAAGTCATGATCAAATGCTTTTAAATGCTTATATGATTTGATTCATTCAATTTCACTTCTGCTACCATGCTACTCTGCGAACAATTCATGATCATATTCATTCGACTAATGTTACGGCTTAAAGATAGATTATGACTTTTTTTTTGTTAATAACCTAAATAAAAAATGACTTTTACTTTTAGCTTTAGTTATTTGTTTATTTTAAATCTTAATCAGCTTTACATGATATATGAAAGCTTATGCAAATAAACTAAATGAAGACAAATATTAGGTGTTTGCAAAAATTGCAATCGCTTTTTCACTTCATTTCACAACGCAACATGGCGATATGATGTCGAAAGAGCTTATATTGGTTTGGCAGCGATCCACCTATCGGCTCATTTTCGCGCTTCTTCAATTTTGCGGATCCGCGTCCCAGCCAAGCCATGCTGTACCGATCTTGACAAGTGGTAATTAGGAGGCGACATGTCTGGTGAGTGCCCTAGGCGTGGCAGAACTTCTTATTCTAGCTGCTTCGAACAGTGTATTCTGCATAACTGTTACAACACAAAAGCTTGCCGTCTAAGAAATTGCATTTTCAGTCAATTCGTGTCGCCACATTTAAACCCTTCATACCAAAACCGACAATTGGGACCACCATAAACCTCTGAACGTGTTGGGTGGTGGGCTGCGATAGTAGATATCTCCAAATAAATAACAAATGTAATAAATTTAGAAGAAGAAGAATTTTGAGCACTCAATGATTAGCGTCGGCGTACGCTGTATAAATCAATAATATTAAATGGAAAAGTGATATCTTATATAGTAGAGGCAGGTCAATTCATATTCAACCATTATGTACACTGGCATTTTTTATTTCTTTATAATTTTTATCTATAGAAATCGCTGATTAAAATTTTTGCAAACACCTAATATATGTATAAAAAGATTTAATTATATTTAATTTATATTTAAATCTTCGTTCAAGTACTTTTTATATAATTTATAAAATTTCTCTTGACAATTGCTTATTAATTAGTTATTAAATACATAAATATTAAATAGATGTATATTATCATTATTAAAATGCCTTCTTTAATACACTTAATTGTTAGTAAAAAAAAAAAAAAAACAAAACAAAAAAAATTCAATGCTATTGTTTATGAAAAAAAAAAAACCAAAACGAAGCTGAAACTGGAGCGTGAGAATATTTGAAATTTTTTATACAAACTTTATCCACACAGGGAAATTAATGCGATCGTTTAAATATCAATATAATCGCTGCAAAGCAAGTGAGTCATCCTCAAAGAGCAAAATGCAAATTAGTAAACAAATTATTCAGTTTGCAGTAAAAGAAACAAAAAAAAAAATAAATGTAACGAGAAAGAAAAGAAATCCACTTTTTGTAAGAAAAAAAAAAAAAAAAAAAAAACACACACACGCACACACACACACGCACATACATACATGAGCCTATTAAACTCAATTAGTGCCTTTAAGCGATTAGTAAATTTTAAAAAACTCTCATCGTAAGAAGTTTAAAAACGAAACTATTTTCAAATTCTTAAGAAAAATTTTCCTTACAAAACTTTTTTTTAGTTATTTGACTATTTTGGGCCCCAGAAAGCGGGCATCACGAAAAATAATCGTCTCGCATATAAAGAAATAAACGACAAATTAAATACAAAGAAAAACGAAAGCAGACAGAAAAAAAAAGATAAAGAAGAAGAAGGAAAAGAACAAAAAAAAAAAAAAACTAAAAACCAAAGTCCCAAGCCGAGGGAAAAACAAACTCAAGACGACGTAATATATGCAATTGAAATTTATGAGAAGAAACACACAAAAAAAAAAAATATATAGAGAAGTAAAACGCTACACAATATTCACATTACAAGCAGGCAGCAGACAGACAGAAGCACAGACATCAGGATTTTCTACGGAATAAATAACAAAAATATGAGAAAAAAGCAATGAAAAGAAATGAAAAGAAATGAAAACAAAAAAAAAAAAAAACGCGTCAGAAATTCAAGAAAACGAAAGAAAAAGAACTTCAACTTTAAGTTGCGTATGTATGCACTTATACACATACAGCATATACGTAGCAGCAGTCGAAAGAAAAACTTCGCATTTATCTCATCACTAACTTTATGTTGATATGAAAAACCTATAACAACTACAAACGCAGCCACGCATTGCGGTATTACAGTTGCGTTTTATTTTTGTTTTTGTTTAGTTGGTTGCTTGTTTGTTTGCTTGTTAGTTTATTTGTTTGTGTGTTTAATTTAGTTTTCCTAGCGCAGTCAAACCGAAAGTATAGAAGAAATATAAAAACAAAAAAAAAAACAAAAAAATAAAAAAAATATCACGCATTACAAAAAAAGAAATGACTTGAAGTGCGTCCTGGCATATGCATGCATGCATGCTTATGTGTGAATGTGCATATCTCATGTTCTCATGTGCACGATATGTCGTCTTATTATTTTCATTAGTATATAGGATGTTGTATAATGCATGTCTAAGGTTAAAGAGTAAACTTCTTTAGTTGCCTGTGTGTAAGTGATGATGGAGCTCGTTTACTTCTTTTTCAATTTGTCTCTATTTCTTCGTCTATTCTCCTTTCATGTTTCTTTTTTGCTTTTCTTATCCGGAATTCTTAAGTCGTTAATAAATAGATATAATATTTTTTTTCCACAATTTGTCTTTCCCCTCTCGCACATAACAATGCGGTTTGATATCTTTTGTTTATTTATTTATTTGTCCATTTTTTTCGTGCGAGCGTAATGTTTGGTTTACGTTTTATTTTTTTTTTTGTTTATTTTCATTTTTACTTATTTAAAATTTTGTTATTATTTTACATATTATAATGTTAAGCTGAAAGTATGAAAAAATTTTTACATTTTGCGGTATCTGTTATAATAATAGGATGTGGTTTTGTTACGCACCAAGTCTGCTCACGTTCTCTAATAAGAGCCGTAAACTTATTTAGTTATGTGCATGCGACTGGGTTATGATTTCATGATGCAAACAGTTTTCGAGTTTTAGTTGAAATAGTTTTTGTGATGAATACAAATAAAACGATGATAAACAGAATAAATTTGTTGAATGTGTATAAAGTGAAGAAGAGACACCAATCGATGACCTCATAAAGTACTTACTTCATCAACTTAAATGTATTTAGTCAAAAATCGATTTAGCAAAGTGTATATATGAGTGTACATTATTTGAAATCAAGTTGAGTATATTATAATTTTTGTTTCAGCTTAAAACTGCAATTGAATGATTTTATAAATGCGTCCAACCGTTAGCGTTTACCTCCTAAAAATGAATATTGTGTTTACAACATTAAGGTCGCGATTTAAATGATTTTCTTTCTTTAAAATCAAGCTCAAGACTCTAAAGATCTGACGGCAATTAAAAACATGTGATAATTTGGTTTTTTCGCTTTTTTTTAGACTATGGCTTCTTAACTTCGTTTGGTGGTTTTCATTGTTACAACATTAGCAAAAGACAAAGTTCAAGATTGCGTTTACAATTTCAGGTTTGGCTTGACTCTTTCCCTTCTTGGAAAATCCAAAGGTCAAAAAATTAAAACATCCAATGAGTTCGGCTCCAATTAATATAAAAATTTTTATTTTTTTCCCTTTAATTTGCTCAAAATTGAATTTTGCCCATTGCTTTGCAAACATTTGGCGAATTTTTTTTTTGATGTAGGTCGCTAAATAAAATAGACCAAATCGCTCTTGTTGCAAACCTATCGTAAAACACTAAATGGGAACAAATCTGTTGTCAAGAAAAAAAAATTCCTTGTTTTGATAATACTCAGAAAGTGCAATAGATATAAATATAAAATTTTCCGCGTGTACTTTGTGGATAATTCTAGAGCACAG